CTGGGTGAGGGGCTGAGGGCCGTTTTCAGGCGTGGCGGGTGACTGAAGCTCCCAACTGCTCCTTTTTTTCTTTTTTTTTTTTCTATTCTGGGCCAGCTTTAGCTCTGAGGCCTCGCTGCTGAAAGAAGGTTTCTGGCCTTTACCTTCTGTATTTGATACAATGTTTCGGTCCGGCTGGCTGAAGCCCGGCTGACTGAAAGCCGGTTTCTAGGGTTTTGTTTAGCTTCTATATTTGCAACATAGTTGCTTAGAGTTGCAGCTGAGAGGCCGGCAAGTCAGGCGGGGAACATTGGAGTCCGCCGTCACTGGAGCAAGCAAGCCTCCCTGTTCGCTTCAGTGCATGGCTGCTGGCCGCCATCTTGGCTGACAGTTAATTTGCATAAGGATATGCTGATTAGCCAATGGGAAGGGTAGCGGTCGTACGCTAATTACCATGTTTCTCTTTTATTAGTGTAGATGGGGAAAAATGAATTCTTATATGCTATTGTTGGCTATACAAATGGGTATAGCTACTAGTATATCAGAGAGCAAATTGGCAATATATAGTCAAGGTAGAAATGCATATATCAAAAAATTCCAGCAATTTCACTTCTAGGAACATAACCAAAAGGAAGTGTGCACAGTTTCATTGCAATGTCTTTGCTGTAGATAAACTATTTTAACTATGTAAATGTTCACTAGCTGGGGAAAATTGAATAAGTAAATGATGGAATATTCAGTATTTTGTGCATTAAATAAACTATATCTTCATGTATTAGCATGAATACACAATAAACATGGGAAATGAAAAAGCAGGTTTCAGACTAATATATACAGCATGATTCAAAATATGTAAAATCTGAAAAATATGCCAAAAAAATTTGAATGGTAGGTATGTTATTTTATTATTTTCTCAAATTTTTCAATTTTTGAATATATTTAACAATCGAAAAGAAAAAGAAAAGTATCAATTGCATACCTAATTTTCTATGTGGATTTCTATATACAGTGTTCAATTTTCTTATTTAACTATTGATTTATTACAATGTTTGAGCAATTTTCAGAAAAAATGCTATACTAATAAAATACCTTACTATATTTAGATTCCTCAAAAACTAAATAGAAATTGAAGAAGCTGGGGAAACGAAATGGAGAAGGCATAATCTTAAAGAATGGGAATGATTTAGGAATTTACATGACATAGAAGGATGTTGCTAAAGAGACCTGACAACAGTTATTGAGGAACAAATTATCATGGCAAATTTGTGGGACAGGGAAAAAACTGCTTGGGATAAACATGTTGGGAAATAAGTTTAAAAATGGTGCTGCATATATAAGATGGTTAGCTTATAAAGGGCGATAAAAATTAGAAACTATCATATGATTTGGGATAAGAAAATTTCATGACAAAAGAAACATTTAAGGAATTATTCTAGCAATATTACTATGTAGTTAATTGTTGAGGAGAGGGCATAGCATTCCAGGTATAAAGACATGGATTAGGGCATTTATCTACAGTTGGGATTTCAGGGTCTTGAGATACAAATATTCCTCATTTGATTGAATACAGTCAGATTGCACTGGCCTCCTTCCTATGGCACTAGCACTTGCTTATAATCAAACTTGAGAACATCTAATGATTTTCAAGAGTTATTCTCATATTGTGGGGAAGGAAATGAGAGCCAGCAATAATTGCCAGCATGAATTTAGGGGTTGAATTCTATGACTTGATTATTATTTTTTAAAATATATTTTTATTGATTTCAGAGATGAAGGGAGAAGGATAGAGAGATAGAAACATCAATGATGACAGAGAATCATTGATTCACTGCCTCCTGCATGCCCCCTCACTGGGGATCGAGCAGGCAAACCAGGCATGTGGCCTGACTGGGAATTGAACCCTGACCTTCTGGTTCATAGGTCAATGTTCATTCACTGAGCCAGGCCGGCCGGGCTGATTATTTCTTAAATATGTTTGATAAGGCTTCTGGACAATTCACCATTGATTAAATATTCCTAGAGGCTGAAAGTTGGTTGATTGAGGGGTAATGAGGAGGATGCTACAACACTTGAATTTCCTTTCTAAATTTAATAAATAAATACAGGTATTTGGAGAAAATGATAAATACTCTGTACTCCCAATATACTACAGATTTAACTTTGTTTTCAAATAGACCTATTTTAAGTATCCATCTGTATAGGAAACAGATAAAGATCCTGCCCCTCCAAAAGTCAGTTATACAATAGAACTCTTAGGACAAAATAAAATTATGTTGAAATTTAGTAAAATCAAAATTTCAGAAATTTTATACTTCACAAGTTATGTATGTTATTTCCTGAATAAAAAACATATCTTGTTTCCTTATATACAGTTTATTTATCCAGCCTAATATACATATTTAGTCATAAAGACTGTCTTTCTTCTATTATAAAAACATCCATTTTTTTTAGAAATTTATGAAATGCCCACTATATAATCTCTACTGTTCTAGGTGCTGGGAATTCAGTGGTGTATACAGAATAAGACAGTGCCTGTCTATACATATCAATTTATATTAATATATACATACCTACAGAGACAAAATATATGTAAAGAAATATATATTTACAATGAGTTTTATTTAGTCCACAAAACTATAACAAATTTACATAACAATGAGTTAGTCATGCATAAAAATCTGAAAATATTATAGAAGAAAAAACAAAAGCTTTTGTCCTCAGTGAACATCAGCATTCTTCTATGTTATTTTTATTCCCCAGCTGATTCTGAGGTAGATGAGGCCCTGGGGTCATTTCAGGTATCTTCAGCAAAAACAAAAGGCATATCCAGTAGAAATTGGTGAATATATATTCAATAATTTCTATAATTGTAATCATACTGGCCCCACAAAATAGGCCCAGTTGGCCACCAACATCTGCTGTAATAAAACCAATAAATTGAACCAGTCATATTTTATTTTTAATAAAAAGGAAATTAAGCATCACTAGAATTTAAATTTTTGAGGCTAATAAATTAATCATAATTATTATTGATATATGAAGATGAGTTAATTGTATTATTTTAAGTTTGGTATAAGTAAAGTCATAGCCATTAATAGTATCTTAAAATAATATTCATATAAATCTCTTCAAAAAGGGTAGAGGAAGAGCAAACATAAATCCTATATCTAAAATATAACTCAAAGACTTTGTAGGATATTAATACAAACATAAAATATTCTTTACAATTACAAATTTATTTCCATGCATTGAATGAAGAGCAGGAATGGGACATTCACATGGCATTACTGGGCAATGATGTTTACCATCTACAAAAATTTCTACACAATTTGTGACTTCAAGTATCCAAATTATTTTTTAAGCATTTATAATACTTATTTACACTAAAATATATTAACAAGGCACTGCCATTTTCTTAAAAAAAATGTAAATCCATGTTTGTCTTTATTGAATGTGCTTTTTTATTGTGATAAAATCTACATTTTAATAGCATAAATTTTATTATTTTAACCATTTTTAAGTGTGCAGTTCTATGGCACTAAGTACATTCACATTGTTGTGCCACCATCATCACCATCCATCACCAGAACTTTTTCATCTGCTCAACTGAAACTCTGTACCCCTTAAACAATAAATTCTTCCTCCCACTTTTTGTCTCTATGAATTTGACTTCTCTTCTCTTTTCAAATAAATTATGCCATTCATCTTTTCCTCATTGCCCTGGGCCATTCTTAGGCTCATGCAATGTTTGTAAAGTGTGATAATGAAGTAAGTGTAGGGCTTGCCCAGGAGCTTTGAGGAATTCCCTCCCTGTTCAGGGGCTCAGCCTCCAGTGACTGACTGCTGTCATTTGACCTGACTCTCATACCCTCTTTTTTCTCTTACTGACTTCCCTCTAATATGCAGTAAGATCTAGGAAGTCAGCAATTCCTTTTGTTAAGGACTCTATGAGGAAGGAGAGTGAGCGGACAGCGGTTAAATGTTAAATTTTGCCAGCTCGGGATCTTCTTTTCAACTCACTCTGGGTAGAGTTCTATTTGGAGGTGTGAGCTGCCTGACATTCCACCCTGATATTGGATGCTGAACACTACAATAGCCACTTGCTGAGGAGGGGGTGGGGAGGTCTGAAGGGAAAGGAAGATGCTGTGTGTGACTCTGAGATCATGAACACCAGCCTTTTCTTTGTGAAAGCCCTGGTGGGGTTTGCAGGAGGTGTGTCCAGGGAGTGGAAAAGTGTCAGGTTTAAATGGTAGATGAATGACAAGCACTACTGATTTTCCTTCCATTGATAAGCTAAACCTTAAATACAAAAGAAAAAAATACTGATAGAAAAATTTTCTTTTAAAACTGAGGAGCAATTAAATAACACTTACCAAGTAATTCGGATACACTCACTGCTTTTTGCTGCTGAGTTATCTTATAATTTAGGTCACTATAGTTTATTTCAATGTTTACAAGATTCTCCCTGGGGATACAAACAGAGTTAAGTTAGCTCAAGATTGTCAACACTAATGTTAATTCCTATTTGACAAAAGGAATAACCTTTTTGGTTCAGATGCTATTTAATGTGAAATTAGACACACCATCACTGTGAAACAGGAATTTTAGGGGGGATATAGGCAGGCTTAGGGTATTTTTAGAATTGGGGTCCAGGAAAAACACAGATTGGGAGAAGGTACATCTCCCTAATACAAGGAAGCCAGGTGCAGGGAGCAGCAACAGTTGCATTTACATAAGACAAGGGAGCTGGAAGTAGCCCAAAAGGTTTATATTTACAAAATAAAGAAGGAAGAAAGCCAGAAAGAAAATAATAATGAGGGAGGAGAGCATCACCTGTCCCATGTGGTGTTGGACCTTTGAGTTCAGGAGTTACTATAGTAACCAATCTAAGGGAATAGTGACCAATCACAGAGGATATTAAGGCACCAGGATCTGCAGCCTTTATAAACCATTGGGAAAAAGAACTCAGTGGGACCCTTTTCCCCCTCCCCACCTGGGATTCCATTCTGTGGGACCCTTTCCCCCTCCTCATGCGGGAATCTGTACTTGTTCTTCAATAAATCTCCACCTTTGCTATACCACCCTCTGTCCGTGGATTCATTCTTCAACTCCGGTGGACAAAGTATCCGGGTTCCAGTCCAAAAAGTCCATTTCAATTGCATTTAATACTAATCATAATACCTTCATTTAGAGACCAGTCTTGTCATGCTTGGTACTTAGGGGAAGCATTTTTCCCCAGACCCAATAGTTTTTTTATGCTTCATTCCCGAGAAACTGGAAAAATAAATTAAATGTAAACATCTGCCAAGTACATTCGAGTATTTACCAACATTTAAGTGTGTCTAATTCTAATTTAAATTTTTGTTCTGTCCTATGTTACTTATGTGATCCTAGAGAAATCGCATGGTTTTCATGAGTCTTGGTTTCCTCATCTGTGGCCAAGATTTTAGGGTCAGGATTTTGGTGAAGAGAAATTAAATAATGTAGTAAAGAATTGACATATATTGGGTATATAGTAAACAGTAGTCATTTATTTTATATCACGAATATGTTAAAATCCGCAGAGACTGTGGATTTTTTTTTTAGTGTCATAAATGGATACTAAATTAAAATAAGTCAGTCGGAGAAAGACAAATACCCATATGATCTCACTCATATGTGGAATCTAAAGAACAATATAAATGAACAAACAAAGCAAGAACAGACTCATAGATACAGAGAAAAGACTGATAGTTGCCAGAAGGTAGAGGGTTTGGGGGACCAAATGAAAAACGTGAAAAAATTAAGAAGTACAAATTGGTAGTTACAAAATAGTCACTGGGATATAAAGTACAGCATAGGGAATATAGTCAATACTATTCTAATGATGATGTATGGTGCCAGGTAGGTACTGGAAATATCAGGGGAAACATTTTGCAAGTATATGATTGTCTAACCACTGTGCTATACACCTGAAACTAATACAACATAACATTGAATGTAAACTGTAATTTAAAAATAAATAAAATTTTATATGTGACCAAATTATCTGAACACTATTTTAAAATATCATTTTATGTAGTCTTAGATACTCTCACACTCTCAATCTCCAGACAAGACTTCTTGAACTTCAATATGTCCAACTGCCTCTTAGTATTTCTATGTGGATGTTCAATTGGTGTTTCATGTTCAACATATTCCAAGTCAAACCCTTGATTTTTCCCCATTTATAATTTAACTAGAGGACCGGTGCACGAAATTCGTGCATGGGAAGGGTGTCCTTCAGCCCGGTCTGCACCCTCTCCAATCTGGGACCCTTAGGGGGATGTCCGACTGCTGGTTTAGGCCCAACCCACAGGGATCGGCTTAAACTGGCAGTCGGACATCCCTCTCACAATCCGGGACTGCTGGCTCCTAACTGCTCCCTGCCAGCCTGATTGCCCCATAATCGCTCGCCTGCTGGCCTGATTGACATCTAACTGCTCCCCTGCTGGCCCAATTGCCCCCAACTGCCCTCCCCTGCTGGCCTGATTGTCCACAACTTCCCTCCCCTGCCAGCGTGGTCACCCCCAACTGCCCCCCCACTGCCAGCCTGAACCCTCCCAACTGCCCTACCCTGCTGGCCATCTTGTGGTGACGTGAGGGCGGCCATCTTGTGGTGGCCATCTTGTGGTGGCCATCTTGTGACGATGTCATGTGCAAGGGCCACCTAAGCTTTTATTAGTATAGATAACACTGCAAACCAATCCAACAGTAAATTTATTTTACATTTTACATATATTCAGAATCCAACCACCTCTTACTCTGCTTCCTGCCATACCAACCTCCATTCTATTCTATCCATACATAAGCATGCTGTTGGCTTAGAATTTTTTCCTCTGTATTTGGTTTTCCCTCCTTCCAGAATGTTCTTCCTTCATAGAATGTCAATATTAGCTCACCCTGGCCAGTGTGGCTCAGTTGGTTAGGCAGTACCGGAGCTCTGAAAGGTCAAAAGTTCAATTTCTGGTCAGGGCACATGCCCAGATTGTGGGCTTGATCCCCAATAGGGGCATGTAGGAGGCAGCCAATCAATGTTGTGCTCTCACATCAATGTTTCTGTCTCTCTCTAAAAATCAATAAAAACCTTTAAAAAAAAAAGACTAGCTTTTGTATCTCCTTGAGGTCAGCAGTTTTCAAAGTCTGGTCACAGACCCGTAGGGGTCCCCAATATCTTTTTTGGAGCTTCATGAGGCCAAAGTTATTTTCATACTATGTTAACATATTATTTGACATTTTCACTCTGTTATTTCAAGAGAACTACAGTAGCCAGTTTATACATGAAACATCATTTTTATTTTAAAAAATTACTGACACACTATGACTATTCAGACTATGATATTTCATAGGATTTTCACAAAAATGAACAAAATGAACCTGTCCCTTTAGGAAAAATAATTAAGAAGATCTGTAGGCAATAATAAGTTTTAAGCTTTACTTTTACACTAAAGTTAAAAGTTTGAAAAAATTATGTCTGCTATGATGAGCTTGAAAACTCTCCAATTTTTAAAGATTTTTTCTGATGAAATAATAACATTAAAATGAAATGTATATTATATAATCAAATAAATCAATATTTGGAATATCTGCATAACTCAGAGAATTTTCCTAATGACCAATAAGTGATGTTCAAAATCATGCATGGGTTAAAAATATCAGCTCAAAGATGCAAGGTATATGATCGATAGATAGTAATATCATTGAGTATGAAAAATTCATTGATATGTTTTGATATTGCACTGCTGATAGCTTTCAAATGTCACCATTCCCATTCCCTCTTCTTGTCCCATGAGAGCTAAGCTAATTATTTGTAGAAAGCCCATGCACTCCTTCCATTGGCACCTGGGAAGGTTAAACCACATAAGCCCTGGCCCACTTTTGGGATCTCATCCAAGTCCTACCTCCTAACCACAATGAAAGGCAAAGTCAGTCTTTTTATAAGCGCAAAGGGACTTGAGACCAAGAAGTTTGAGAAGCACTGCTTTGCTCAACTGTTACTTTCCCAGGAAGATCTTATTTGATCACAATCCTCAACCCTAAGAACAATCTTTCCTGACTCTGGCTTTCCAAGCCCCCTTTGCTGCTTCCTTTTCCTCCACAGCACAGCATCATCTGAGATGACTATTTGTATTTATTGTCCATCTCCACCTCAACGGAAATAAATGCAACAAGGTGGGGATTTTGTCTTTTGTACATAGGGTATCCCTAATATCTAGAACACCCCTGACTCCTGACACTTTACAGGTGTTTATTAAATGGACAAATAAGGAGACAAATTAAAAAAGAAACCAAATGAATGGATAAATATTAACCTGTCTGTCTTATAAGATAAGGTGGAAACCAACCACCTGGTGATTATCAGTTGGCAATAATAATTGTCATTAGGAATGGATTCTATTAGTGTTGTTTCCTAGGATTATATGGTGTTCTTTAATATATCTAAGAAAGATAACTATAAATCACTCTCCTATTGTTTACAGTTTTAGAAATCAATGTTCACAAATATACTTAATTCAAAATATATCACTAATATGTTTACTTAATTTCCATTGGTTTAGCCCTGGGTAACTGGACAATGAACTATGTTTACATCAATAATCACAGATATTGTAATATTTACAAATAATAAAATAATTTTCAAATTGAAGGAAATAGTAAAGTTGTCTTGGAAGTCTAGAAATTTTAGTAATATTGCAATCATTTTGTCCTCCATTGTGCTCCTAATTTGCATGTACACTGATAATAATGTTTAATTTCCCAAGCACTACACTTGTAACCATTTCCAAACATTATTCATTCTGTGCTTTGGGAGAAGATAAATTCATTCCCTTGAAAAATATTGTGATATTTATTCAACTTCACTCAGGTAGGTGAGTTGTCCAGTAATTTGATTCTCATTGAACTTATGTCGCATGATGATCATATCTTTGTTTGGGATTTAAGTCTAGAAATATTTGTTTATGTCAGTAGATGCATGATTAAAAAATAAAGTCTAGATTTTAATAAGGATGAGGAAATCAAAGAAAATTTAAGGATTTCTATTTATAAAGCACTAAAGAAATGCTTCCAGGTATTTAAGTATGAGTACTGTAATAAGGGGAGTAAAATGGTTTTGAACAAAGCAAACTATTTTATACAACATTTCATTAAAATTTGTTAAATTAAAACAGAACAATTTACAAAGTTCACTTGTTTTACTAATAGAATTAGCCTAAATTCAGCCATAATATACCCTTATATTTATTTCCACACTTCAGTCAGGATAAGCTTTTTATGATCTTCTCAATAGGGTCCATCAACTGCCACAGGAGGCCCTGGATCCGTCCAAGTCTGGGATTGGTTTTTGCCCCAAGAAGAAGCTTTTACAGGGTTCATGATTAATTCAGGGCTTGCTATTTTTCTTCTTCTTCTCCTCCTCCTCCTCCTCCTCCTCCTCCTCCTCCTCCTCCTCCTCCTCCTCCTCCTCCTCCTCCTCCTTCTCCTCTCCTTCTTCTTCTTCTTCTTCTTCTTCTTCTTCTTCTTCTTCTTCTTCTTCTTCTTCTTCTTCTTCTTCTTCTTCTTCTTCTTCTTCTTCTTTTTTTTTTTTGTAATTTTGCTGCTAAGGTTTCACATCTGCTCTCCTAACAAATTGCATTTCTGTTTTCTGATGCTGGTACCTGTTCACAAACCAATTTCTTTTATATGTGTGACTTCTAACCACCAACTCTAGAATTTGGATACCCAAGTTCAGCTGCATTTGTTCAGCTACTTGCCTTAGTCTTCATGGTAATGGCTTCTGATATTCACAACAATGTAAGGTCTTTACATGTCAATTATGTGATTCAGATTAATTGTAGAACTACTTGCAACCAAGGGGAGCAGAATATGCCACCCCCAAATATGCCATTTCAGCATATTGATTACTTTGAATTAAAGTTACTTAAGAAGAGAGCCAGTGCAAGAGAACATTCTGACCTTTATTTGACCCCTTGAAAGCAAAAATCAATGTCTCATATGAAAGCTGCCCTCCCTGTAACAGGAGGGTAAAAGGCATCCTTATCAGAGATAGGGAATTTAGGGCAAGAAGATGGTATAAACAAACCTTGTTACTTCTTCACTAATAGTACTCCAAGTTCAAACCCCCTTGTCTTGTCAATTTTCACAAATGTATTATTTCTTTACCTAAAAATTATAGAAGTTGCCTGCATTGGTCATTCTTTGAGTTTTATATTTTCATGGGCGCCCAAGTGTATAAAATTAAGTTATTTTTCTCATTTTAATCTGTGTTATGTCAATTTAAAGTTAGACTAGCCAAATAACCTAGAAGGGAAGAAGGAGAAAGTTTTTTTTCTCCTACAACAATAATGTAAGTTTTAGAAAAAACAAAACATGCCCTGTAGGATCATCTTGTTAATTCATGGGCTTCTCTTCTGATTCACCAATGTGTCTCCAAAATCATGCCTACATTTTTTGTACATTAAATAATTTTGAAACTCAAGAGATCTCTATCAGCCCAAAGTCATACAAAGTGCACTTCTCAGTCATATTTAAGTGTATAAGGGGAATAATACTCTGAGTAAATCAGTTTCCCATATTAAAATGGAATAGAGACATCTTTAGGAGACAGAAGTACTAAGAATATAGTTGCAAATTTCTAGCTATTCATTTATTTCTCTGCTAAATGTTTGACATCATACCTTGTCAACCTTGTCTTGATGAAAATACTTTTTCTGCCTGACTTGCAAAGATCACTTTATTATCTAGGCATTTCCATGGGTAGAGCTTTTCTTATTAGTGAAGCTAAAACTAGAATTTAAGAATGCTTTCAAAGTTTGGTACTTGGCTGTGCAAGAGTAAATCAGCTCTTAAATAGTTAATATGTTTTTATTATAAAAATGTAAATATAAATACCAATGAACTATATTGCCATTTCAGGTCATCTGTTTATAAATATAAACAAAAACAAAGACAAATGTTAAGGTTGCTTCCTGATTTTAAAAAAGAGAGTTCTTTATAAACTTTGACTTGTAAATTCTAAGTGACAACATGGGGTAGTGGAAATAGAACTAATTTAATCCTCAGTTAAATAAAATTGAAATTCTATTTCTCTGTGGAAAATATATAGAGACTAAAACCATAGGTCTTGGACATACTTTCTTCCTGTACCACTGATAGAAATTTCTTTCAGAGGACAGTTACCTGAAATACAGTGCTTCAGTTTCCTCACTGATAAGAATAATGATTTGCGCTCAATATACTTTACATAGTTATTAGAATACTAAAACTATATAATATACAGGTAAAGGATTTCCATATCTTGAAGTATTAACTAATATGATTAACGGATATGAAAGCATTATTATTTTTCCAAGTTGGGCCAATAATGGTAAGGTCATGAGCAAATTAGTCCAGCAGGCCTCATTTTACTTTTCATACAATTAAATGAAGGAATTGAAATTCTAGTGTGTCATTGTTAATTCAGTGATGGAAGCCATTGCCTCTGATTGATCAGAATTTCATGTCCAGAGTCTTTGAAAGTTATGAGAAAAGACAATATTCATGTTAATAACAAATCTTTACAAGACTAAAAGATTACCTGATGTATTTTTGGCTTTGGTTCAACTTCTTGGAAAGATGTTTCAAAGCTTTTCGACTTGGAAAAGTGGAATAAGAAATAGTAGCAGGATATTCTGTTTCTTCACAAGGAACAGGGCAGCTAGAATTATGTGTCCCCATTGTACATAATTCATTCACTTCGATGTGGTCTGAAATGAAAATCAAGACAAGACATTCAGAAAAGAGGACTATTTCACAGTGGAAAGGACAGAGCTTTAAAATTTTTTTTATCATTTTACTGTTAATGCTTAAAAAAACGGTTTACAAGTCCTATCACTACTTTCTTTTTTGTTGTTAATCCTTACCTGAAAATATTTGTCCATTGATTTTTAGAGAGAGTGGGAAGGGGAGCGACAAAGAGAGAGAAACACTGATGTGAGAAAGACCCATCAATTGGTTGCCCTCTGCACCCCCGACCAGGACCAGGGATAAAGCCTGCAACCTAGGTACGTGCCCTTGACCGTAATCAAACTCAGGACCCTTAAGTCTGTGGGCCAATGCCCTATCCACTGAGCCAAACTGGCTAGGGCTATCTACTTTCTTAACAAAAGCTATTTATATTTTATTTATTTTTTTAGTATAAATAAAGCAAAGGACACAAAATATAAAACATAGGAGTTATTACCCTTGAGTTAATTGAATGACTACATTATTTTCATAAAATATCAGATATCTGGACAGGAGAAAAATAGAAAAGGTGTTGCTGTCATCTTGTGTCACTGTTAGAGGAACTTTCCAATGTAATCCTACAAATCTGGTTAAAACTAAAATTATCCTTGGGCTTGTACAGCTTTTGTGAAATATGCTGCCAGGTATTGAGACTTATTTCTGTGGACGCAATAACTTCTGAATCAGCCACTGAGGTTCTCCGCCCTCTGTCCTCTCTTGGCCCCTATAGAGCATCTGGTCTGTCCAGGCATGTGTACTGGACAAAGCCCCCGCAGGAAGTGGTGGGTACTTGTCTTCAGCTTTCTTTTGGACAACCTCCCAGTGCCCAATCTCACTGCTACTCACTCTTGGTAGATATTCCAGTTGTTGTTTTTCATGTGGTTTTGTTATTGAAACTCTCATTTTTTTTTTTAAGAATGCTTTGTTCCCAAGACCCCTTGATTAATGACCAACTTTTGGCTTGTTTTCCAGACTCCAGCTTTGATACTCCTTTATGGTATGATTTCATTTGCATAGTTTATTTTTTTAAGAATACTAGTAACAGCCACCACTCTTTCTCTATAGTCACACAACTACATGCAATCTCTCTCTCTCTCTCTCTCTCTCTCTCTCTCTCTCTCTCTCTCTCTCTCTTTCCTGATATTGTCCCATTATTAGCCCACAGAACTGCATGCATGATTTGTTGCCCCAAGTTTTCCCTCCAGCTTTTACCAGGGATAGGATGTCAGAAGAAATTAGGCAACTTAACTTCAACTCCATTGGTCAGTAATATGACTTCTGCATATTCAGTTTTTAAGGTAATTTTAAAAATATATCAGGTCCCTTCTACCCATACCCATTCCATGAAATATTTTACAACCATTAAAAAGAACATGCTAAATCTATTCCTGTTGTTCTGGATATGTTTTTCCACAATGGATTAGAAAAGCAAGTTACATACACAGAAGAGTATGTACTGTGATTTCATTTTAATAAAACAATCAATGACTTAAAGACATCAATATGAAGCTATATATGTGAAGAAAATTATGGTGGAATATACTAGAGTGTTAACATTGGTTGGGGGTTAAGACAAGAAATATGTAAGCAAAATTTTTGCTGATTAATGAGAAATTGTCCTCAATAAACATCACATGTATGGTTGTGATTACATTTAGATAAAAATTTAATCCATGCATTTATATATAATGTATATGTAATGAAATTAATAAATGAAAGGATGGTCACCTACATTATGATGATGATTTTCAGAGTGATGCAACTTCTACTAATATTGACATGATTTTTTTCTATTCTATAATGTTTGAACTAGTCACAACAAGCATGCTTTCTTTATTTCATGAGAAAAAAGAAATTTATTTTGATTATAAGGAAGTATAAAATGTAAAAACATACAAATTTAGAAATAACAATCAGAATCCTCTTACTGTTATATTGTCACTGCATCTCTAATTCAGATGTATCTTGAAATCAGAGGATTTTTTGTTTTGTTTTACTATGTCTGTGTAAGCTAGTAATGTTCATTTTAAGAACATTAAGAGCTCCCTCTTGTAGTCTCTCTTTTGTTTCACTTATGGACTATTAATAGTATAATTTAAAGTTTTGTATTACTATGTACAACTTTTATATAAATAATGAAAATGAGAGAATATACTAAGCCACTTACCAAGTGTAGGAGAAACGCAGTTGTAAAACTTTTGTAGGTCACACTCTATCCCTTTTCCTTAAAAAGAATAAATATAAATATAGAGACTTTATACTTTATGCAATAAATGACATAGCAAAAAATATCTTTTTTCCATCCATCTTTCCATCAAACAATCTATCCATCTGTCTATACCATTATAAAATGAGTTAAATGAGTAATAATTTTAAAATTGCTTTCCATTTATCATTTCATTTTTTCCAGCCCTCCTATGTGGTGTCAGAGTCCTGCTCTTATCCACCCTGCTCTCTGCCTTGTTCAGTGCTTGCCTCAGACATCCATGGCTGTGGAAATGTTTCCAATTGTGTGCAAAGGGAGCATGGAGTTTCTTTTCTAGCTACAAATGTTTCCCTAGAGTGAAATATTCAGTGTCAGTATATAAATGATCTAATTTTTCTTTGAAATTGAGAAAACTGTAATGAGCAATTTTAGATATATGAGAGCACCCAATTTTATTTTATTTTATTTTATTTTTTTTAAAATATATTTTATTGATTTTTTACAGAGAGGAAGGGAGAGGGATAGAGAGTTAGAAACATCGATGAGAGAGAAACATCGATCAGCTGCCTCCTGCATACCCCCAACTGGGGATGTGCCTGCAACCAAGGTACATGCCCTTGGCCAGAATCGAACCCGGGACCCTTCAGTCCGCAGGCCGACGCTCTATCCACTGAGCCAAACCGGTCAGGGCTAGAGCACCCAATTTTATAATTTGAAAATAAGAATTGGCTACT